GTGGCAGCCACTCGATGTGTCCCTTCACGTCGATGTTTCTCTCTCTCTCTCCCTTCTTCTCTCTCCCTCCCACTCTATCTGTACAAGAAATGGAAAAATATCCTCGGGTGAGGATAAAAAAAAAAAAAAAAAAAAAAATGATAGGAATGGCCCAGCTGGTGTGGCTCAGTGGTTGAGCGTCGACCCATGCACCAAGAGGTCGCCAGTTCAATTCCCAGTCAGGGCACACGCCCAGGTTGTGGGCCAAATCCCCAGTGGGGGGGCATGCAGGAGGCAGCCAATCAATGTTCTCTCTCATAGATGTTTCTATCTCTCTCTCTCCCTCTCCCTTCCTCTCTATCTAAAATTAATAAAGGAAAAAAAAATTTTTTTAATAAAAATAAAAATGGTGGAAATGGTGGCAATAACAGTATCTACCTCTTATTATTACCTATAATAATAGTTGTTATGCCCGGATGGTGTGGCTCAGTGGTTAAGCATCAGCCTATGCACCAAGGTCACCAGTTCAATTCCCGGTCAGGGCACATGCCCAGGTTGTGGCCCCGATCCCCAGTGGGGGATATGTAGGAGGCAGCCAGTCAATGTTCTCTTTCATCGATGTTTCTGTATCTCTCTCCTTCTCCCTTCTCTCTCTAAAAAATCAATAAAGAAAAAAATTTTTTAAAATAATAATAGTTGTGCCCTGGCTGGTTTGCTTAGTGGTTAGAGCTCGGCCCGAGGACCAGAGAGTCCTGGGTTTGGTTCCCACTAGGGTCATGTACCTCGGTTGCAGTTTTTCCCCAGCCCGGTTGGGGTCGTGTGGGTGGCAACCACTCGATATATCTTTCTCACGTTGATGTTTCTCTCTCTCTTCTTCTCTCTCTCTCCCTCCCGCTCTATCTGAAGATAAATGCAAAAATGTCCTTAGGTGAGGATAAAAAATTAAAATAATAAAAATAATAATTAATAATAATAGTTGTTATGAGGATTGAAACATTAAAACTAAGGATGAACTGCATAAAGCTCTTGGCACAAGCCTAGCACATAATAGTTGCTCAGTAAATGTCATTTATTGATTAGAACTGACTCTCTATTTCTGAAAGCCTTTTGAATTTTTCCTCAGTCTTAGGGTGATGACATAATGACTCTAACTATATATTTTTTTTAAATACCCACTGACCTAAGAAAAAAAAGAAATGCAAATTTAAAAGAGAAAAATGCCATTTGAAGTTGCAAATATATACTGAAATGAAAAACTGGAAGGCTAGATTTTCCCATAGACATGTTTTATTGGTGTTTAAATTTGAATTAGTGGCCAACTAGTTAAAACATCAAAAAATGTTCCTAAGGAGGAGTCCTTAGGAATTCTCTTGAAAATTAGAAAATTACGTTTCTTTTGAAAAATTATAAAATCTAGCGATAGTAATCCAGATTCTTACACACATTAAGCTTGCAAGAGACCCTAGTCTCAATATAAATGAAAATTGTAGTAAATGCTGAGCTGAATTTTAATTGTCTTAAAAAAGAAAAAGAGAGAGGGACTTCTGATCAAGATGGTGGCGTAGGTAAACACGATATCGCATCCTCCCACAACCACATCAAAGTTACAACTAAACTACAGAACAATCATCATTCAGAACCGCCTGAAATCAAGCTGAATGGAAGTCCTACAACTACGGAATTAAAGCTGCAGCCGCATCCAGACTGGTAGGGGGGGCAGAGGCAGTCGGGCTGGTCCCACACCCACATGTGGCGGATAAAAGTCAGGAGGATACCTCGGCCGGGAGGGTCCTCCCTGAGAACTGAGGGGTCCCGGTCCCAACCAGGTGCCCAGCTCTGGGTTCCAGTGCCAGGAAGAGAAGTCCCCATAACTTCTGGCTGGAAAACCAGCGGAAACTGAGGCTCAGGGAAGCTGAGGCAGCTGGAGCCTCAGGCAGCTCCTTAAAGGGCCCGCTCATGCCCTGGCCAGTTTGGCTCAGCAGTTAGAGCATCGACCTGTGGTCCAGAGAGACCCGGGTTCGGTTCGCGCTAAGGGCACGTGCCTCGGTTGCAGTTTGTCCCCAGCCCTGGTTGGTCGTGCGGGTGGCAACCACTCAATGTGTCCCTTTCACGACAATGTTTCTCTCTCTCTTCCTCTCTCTCTCTCCCACTCTATCTCAACGGAAAAATGTCCTCGAGTGAGGATAAAAAAGGGGGGTGGGGCCGCTTACGGACTTAACTGGACTCATCAGACTCACTCCCTCTCAGCTTGCCGGGGAGACAGCTCAAGGGGTGCCAGAGACATACAGGGAAGAACTGAGCTGTTTGGCACTGGAGCAAGGACTGGAGAGGGGGCTTTCTCCGGGACAGTCGAGCAGTCAGAGGCATTTGTTCCTTTGGTGGGCCCTTCCCTGGAGCGGCAGACAGTCGCCATATCTGGGACTCCAGCAACCTGGTTCACACTGTTTGCCCCGCCCTGGTGATTCCCTGAGGCCCCGCCCCACTCAGCTTTCAGGCCCATTCAAGCTGTTGCCAGTTGCTTTACCAAAGGATTGGCCTGTGTTGGATCCTGCTTCAGGTTTTCCTAAATTCTTCAAACAGGCAGCATCTGGTCTCAGCTAGCCCCATACCTCTCGTTAAGTAATACACAGAAACAAACACGGGGAGGCAGCCAAAATGAGGAGACAAAGAAACAGGTCCCAAATGAAAGAACAGAACACAACCCCAGGAAAAGAACTAAGTGAAATGGAAATAAGCAACCTAACAGATGCTGAGTTCAAAACACTACTTATAAGGATGCGCAGTGGACTTAGTGAGAACCTCAGCGAACTTAATGAGGACCTCAAGACCATAAAATCGGACCAGTCAGAAATGAAGGAGGCACTAACTGGAATAAAGAATAATTTACACAGATTCAATAGTAGAGTAGGTAAAGCCAAGACGCAAACCATTGATTTGCAATATAAGGACGTGAAAAACACCCAATCAGAACAGCAAAAAGAAAAAAAAAAATCCAAGAAAATGAGGATAGTGTAAGGAGCCTCTGGGACAACTTCAAGCGTGCCAACATTCGCATCTTGGGGGTGCCAGAAGGAGAAGAGAGAGAACCTCTTTGAAACAATAATGGCAGAAAACCTCCCCAAGTTGGTGAAGGAAACAGACATACAAGTCCAGGAAGCACAGAGAGTCCCAAATGAGATGAACCCCAAGAGGCCCACACCAAGACACATCATCATCAAAATGCAAACGGTTCAAGACAAAGAGAATCGATGGCCATATAAAGAGTTTCCCAGACAAGGAAAAGCTAAAGGAGTTCATCACCACCAAGCCATTATTATATGAAATGTTGAAGGGTCTTCTTGAAGAAAAAGATAAAAACAAAATGCCAATGAATATATATCTATCGATAATTGAATCTACAAACTAAATGAACAAGCAGAACAGAAACATTCTCATAGATACAGAGAATATTTTGTTGGTTGCCAGATGGAAGGGAGGTTGTGGGAATGGGTGAAAAAGGTGAAGGGATTAAGAAGTACAAATTGGTTGCTAGACTGACAAACCTCAAAGGGAAAGGGGTTGGGGGGTGTGGGAAGAAATAAACCAAAGAACTTATATGCATATATGCATAACCAATGGACACAGACAACAGTATGGGGAAAGGCAGGAGGGGGATGGGAGTGGGGAGGAGGGGGTCAGTGGGGTAAAAATGAGGAACATCTATGTAATACATTCAACAATAAAGATTAAAAAAGATTTTTTAAAAGACATTACCCGGGTGTTGGTGAGATGCCATGAGACTCACGCACTGTTGGTCAAAACACAAATGGGTAGTTTTGGAGGCCATTTTAGAATGTGATGACCAAGGGTCTGAAAAGCTTTTTGTCCAAAGTTATTAATTCTGTCACTTATAATATTGAGAAACTGGAGAACTGTTAAAGAGCCCTAAATGGGGAATGTTTAAGTAAATTATGGGGTGTACATAATTAGAGGATTATGCAGCTATTTTTTTTTTTTCTTTATTGATTTTAGAGAGGAAGGGAGAGGGAGAGAGAGAGTTAGAAACATCAATGAGAGAGAACATCGACTGGCCGCCTCCTGCATGCCTCCCACTGGGGATCGGGCCCACAACGTGGGCATGTGTCCTGACTGGGAATCGAACCAGCGACCTCTTGGTGCATGGGTCGATGTTCAACCACTGAGCCATACCCGCCAGGTGATTCTGCAGCTATTAAAACAGTATGTGTGGCTTGGCTGGAATGGCTCAGTGGTTGAGCATCGACCCATGCACCAAGAGGTCGCTGGTTCAATTCCCAGTCAGGACACATGCCCACGTTGTGGGCCCGATCCCCAGTGGGAGGCATGCAGGAGGCGGCCAGTCGATGTTCTCTCTCATTGATGTTTCTAACTCTCTCTCTCTCCCTTTCTCTCTCTTTCTAAAATTAATAAAGAAAAAAATTTAAAAAAACAGAAACAAAAAATTGTGTGAAAACCAAATAGTAATATGAGGAAAGTTAATCATATAATGATAGGATTGAAGAAGATGCAAAGTTTTACATACCCTGATTGCAGTGTATTTATAGAGGCAAAAAATCTGAAAGGAAATATACTAAAATGCAGTGCTTATGTTGTTAATAGAATTCTTTATTTTCCAGACTTTCTATAATGTGATATTAATTTTAATGTTTATAGGTCTAGTTTATCTGATGTTTTGGTGAAACCTCAGAGAATGTCATTCCTCACTGACCATTTCTAGTACTCTCAATCCTCAGCCTCCTCTTCACCAAAAAAAATCTAAGTCCCCAGTGTTAGCCTATGGCTTGCTTGGTCCCACATAAATCTGTCTTATTTATTTTCTTCTGTGAAGACAACACTGTATGTTGTCCCAAGTTGTTATTGTTCTTTCCTTAATAATCCGGGTTACTGAAATTTGATCATTAATGTATAAAGAACTTAGGACATGATGAGCACTCTGTGTTACTGTAAGATAGTTTTCCCCACCTTCCTTTCCTTTTATTTACATACCTCTTTCTTACTTTCAGGCGGTTAGCAGAGGCATTTCATATCAGCGATGATTCTGATCCTTTCAATGTACGTTCTTCAGCCTCAAAATTTAGTGACAGTTTGAAAGAAGATGCCAGGTATGTAACTTATTACCTACTTTCTTAATTGTGGCTTACAAGAATGTTCGGTCTTATAAGATGTAAATAATATGTACTCCTCTGTGATTGAACCAGTTAAAGTTTATATATCTATTACAAGAGATTGTATGATTAATAAAAATCCTTCTCTCAGTTTCTCAGAACTATCTCCTTGAAGAATTTAACTTGGGGGATGTGCATGTATGCATGTGTTTGCGTTTGTGTCCCCTATGATAGGAGTTCAGGCCTCCCTAGGGCTGGATTAGCCTAAATTCTCTAGCCACATCACACCTCTGTCTACCCAGGTCTCAGTCATTTGTGTCCTCACTTGGGCAGTAACAGCTCTTATTGTCCACCTGTCTTCTTGCCCTCCAGTGGCTATTTCTTTTCCATCTCCTCCTTTTTTATATTTGTTTTCTCTTAGTTCAATCACGATCAACATTCTGTTATCTGACAATTCCTGACCTCTGCAGTTTTTCTGCCCACATTGTCCATTGTCTGCACCTTACAGGCAGATAGGGTGGGCAGGAAGAATTTTTAAAGAGCAGGAACAGATGAAGTTAACTGTAGTGATTTCTCATTTCAGGAAGGACTTAAAGTTTGTCAGTGACGTTGAGAAGGAAATGGAAGCCCTTGTGGAAGCCGTGAATAAGGTTGAAGTCAAAACATCCAGTTGGACATGTCTCTAAGGCCAGCTTGATAAAAAATCAAACACTGTTGGTATCGAATAGTTGTAGATAAAATTCACAGCTCCATTTTGAGGATCCTTATCTTTCCCAAAAGCCCAACCATAATAATATCCACAGAAGCCCCATCCTGGTTCAGGAAAGGTAACTGTAGTCAAATTACATGTAAATAAAAAACCTAGTTCAGTGCCTAAGAATGGTGAAGAAGCCTGGATGAGGGGTTTCAATAGTGATAGTTGAATGACTGTGCGAGATACTTAAGGAGACATGCTGGACACTCAGATCTCTGAAGGGCTATTATATAATAGGACACAGCAGTTCTTTACTACCCCAAAGGCAGGAAAGAAACCCTTGGGTAAAGATAAAAAGGTGAGTGGCTGGAGCTGAAGAGTAATAGCATAGACTCCCTCAGGAGTCTCAAGAGAGTGAGGCCTCTGTCCTGGAGGCAGACAGGGGTGTTGAGGTAGCTTTAAGCAAAAGAAGTCTTAGTCAGAAGCAGCCAGCCCCGCAGTGGCCCCCTCTTCATTCAGTGGGGACTCGGAGTGAGGATGAGATGTTGCTTTAGCTTCATATCAAATGAAGGTTTCCTTCCCACCACGTGTCTTGGCTCCCTTCCCTTCCACCCTTTGTTTCCACTTCCCAGCAGGATACTGACACAAAGGAGGAAATGGAATCATTGTTCCTTTCCTAATTAGGAATCCTGAGCAAATGTATTTTTCTGCTTATGTCTGCTTCTGTGTACACATGATTTTTAGTGCAGAACATACTTTTATAGGAAATGAGATTTTCTTGTTTTATAAGTCTTAAATTTATTTAGTCTTTTCTTGGAATTATCACTCACTCCCCACTTATAGGCCCCCTCAGGAAGAACCAGTCACTGTCTGTATAAGTCTTAGTTCACTTACCCTTTGTCCCTAACCCTGGGCAACTTACACTGTGTGGCTCACCAGTAGATGAAGTGCATCAGCTCTCATCCTCCCAAACCATTTGGCTTGCTTGGCAGTCAGTGAAATGCTGTATACTGCAAGCTTCTAAAACTCAGCCACCTCTTAATTGACCCAGACTGTTCTGGACAAGGGGGTGGGGGTGAGTGGGTGGGAAGGACCTTTTTAAGCATACTCAGTTTTCAAGATGATTTTATCAATCATTCTCTTTTCCCTTAATACAGGGAAAGAATATTAAGAAGAGCCACTTCTTCCCTCCTATGAACAGAGACCACCGCCGGATCATCCATGACCTGGCCCAAGTGTATGGCCTGGAGAGTGTAAGCTATGACAGTGAACCAAAGCGCAACGTCGTCGTCATTGCAGTCAGGTGGGTTGATTTTGCCATCATAGGCGGGACTGCTTGGTGGGATAAACTGGACCCAAGAAGCAGTCTGTCAATATTTGCTTTTCTTACTTCCTCTCTTGGAAGAATAGTTGGAAAATCTGCTTCTGTAACAGCCATTCTGAGATGATATAAGGGTCCAAACCTGAGAGCAAAGCCTCAGTCCACAGGACAGACCCACCTAAAGAATACAAGCCTCACATCTGCCCAGATCCACATCAGTCACTGGAGGCAGCATTCCTCGGGCTGGGGGAACAGACCCAGAGGGCCTGGGTTGGGTGCCTGCCCATCATATCTGTCTCTTTTCCCCTTCTGGGGCAGTAATGTGAGACAGGAAGGGACAGGGAAGATTTAGGATTCTGTGTGAGATGAGAAAAAGCAGGTAACTGGCCCAGCAGAGGTGGGTGGGAGGGATGAGGGTTAAACAGAGGTAACCATGCCTGAGCAGAGACAGGTAATATCAGAGAGTGCTCAGTAGCATTATAGTGCCAAAGTCATGGACTGGATTTCCAACTATTGCCTGTCTCCACAAACAGTTCTCACTTTTCAATATTTTATGTTCTGACTTTTATCAGAGGGAAGTCCATTTGTCCTCCTACCACGCTGACAGGTGTACTTGAAAAGGAAATGCAGTCACGGCCTCCACCTCCAATTCCTCATCACAGACAGTCAGATAAGTAAGGATTCTTCAGCTGCTTTCCAAAGGGCCCCTGCCTGTTCAGAGAAGCCAGCAGAGCTGAGCTATCCTGGGCCACACCAGCCATTGGTGGCCTCCTAAGGCCTGGCCTTGGGGTAACGTGTTCAAATATGTAAGGTTTGACTGGATGTCAGACACATTGGTCACGCCAGAGGGGTCCCAATTTGATGTTTATTATGCCTACTTTCCCTGAAGGGAGAGCAGTCACTGGACATAATTTCCATGATATAGATGGAGACCCTGGGAAGTGGATTCAGCTTGACACATCAGATGATTGAGGAACAGCATACAATTCACAACTGTTATTCTGGTTGGAGGTGGCATTGGTGGGGAAAGTTGGCAGTAAAGAGCAGGACTTTCATGTTTTGCGCTATTTCCCTATGATATGAGTCATTTTTACAACAAAAACGTATTCATGATTTAAGGAGAAAAGAAAGCCACATTGGCAAGCAGCAGCAAGTTTGCCAGGTTTTTTTCTCAGACAGGAGCAAGGAAGGAATACCATCCTTCCCTCCTCTCCCTGGTCAGGAGGGAAGCTGGCTGCCCTACTCTGATGAAGTAGCATTGCTGAAAGTTGCTCTGAAACCCACAGGTCTCCCTACTCCTGTTCTGACCTTCCACACAGAAGCCCTGCAGCCCTGGCATACCTCTTATACAAAACCTCTGGGAGGGTGGGTAGAGCAGTTTTCAAAGTCAAAGCAATTGGTGTTCCCCTGGGACTAGATAGGGCAGCTAGCTGTCGCCCGTTGGGCACAGCCCCAGCAGGAGCATCTGGGGGCTGTATAGCTCCTCGATGTCAGTCTGATCGTCTCTGGGAAGCAGTTGGCCTAGATTCCAGACAGTGTAGATTGCCTGTCTACATGGGCAATGGTTTTGGAAATGGTTGGATTATTTTATGTTATTCCACAGCTGTGCCCAGCACCACCTGGGCATAACCATGTATAGTCATTGACCTGTTTATGCCATGCTATCTTTTTTTTTCCTGTGCTTACTTTATTTTTGTATAAAACGGTATGGTAGAACATTTTAAGAGTAAAGAAAGTATATTAATATAGTGAACTGCTGTGTGCTCATCACCAAATTTCAACAGTTCTCAGCTCATGTAGACCCCACTGTCTTAGCAGAGCTTTGCAAATGATAAATCCGCTGATCCTTAACTTTCTGAAGATGTGAATCTGGTTTCCTCCAGAAAGAAAAGATGGATTATTTTTTGTTTGCTTTTCAGGAATCCTGGGAGCAATAACTTACAGAAAATAGCAAAGGAGGCGGTAATTGACTACTTTGATGTTCAGGACTGAGAACTTCAAGATGCACTAAGATGAAAGAATGATTAGGTGGGGTGGAGAATCATTTGCCAGCAGATAAATCATACGTATTCCCAACTTCCTGATGATCTTACAGCCTCACATACTGTCCTGTATTGATACATCCAAAGCATGTGTGTGTCAGAAATCCCCTGTCCTCTGATCTCTCTGTATGAAGTGTCTCTGTGCAGTCAGATGTTGACTGCATGGTCACTAGCAATTCAGTCATGTATTTGCAGAGGCTTCTCACACCTTCACTGTGATTGCTTGGGCCTTAGGGGAACATTGGGCTTGATTTGAATAGACCAGGATTTTAGCCTGAAACCAGCTTTATGGCACTTAGTCATAGCCTCAGTTGTCCCAGTTATCCACCCCCTCCTGAAAATGCCTGTAACGTCAGATGCACCTCACTTTCTTAATCCAGACTGATCACAGTCTTTGGAAATACATAAGCAAATTTCTCAGTCTGAAGTACCAAACATTGAATTGGTACATCGTATCTAGAAGCACACGTGTTGTGTTGAACCCAGCTATCTTATCTGAGTCTTTTGCCAAAAACTCAGAGGTCTGTCAAGCTGAACTTATTTTAGTGGTTCTCAGTACCATCAGTTCTAGACCTAGCAAAGGGGTTGGTGGCTTTACAGAATTCCATTGTTTAGAGTCCAGGGGACACATACCATGTCACTGAGCCTGTCTGGTGATAGTCACTTTAGTTATCCACCATGATGGCAGAGGACAGAGAGTAAGCTCCTCCTGCCAGGTTCATATTGTAGCCTCTATGTATGAGCAGTGTAGCCCCAATGCCTTCTCTCTGGTTGAGAGTCTCAGGTAGACTTATATTTCCAGTGTTGCTTTCTCCCAGGACTGCAGCAGCCATATCGGCTCCCTTTGTCTCTGAGCATTGGACTTCTGTTTGAATAGTCAAAAAAATATGCACATTGTTCAGGGATTATCCCAGCAACCCCTGGGAGCATTCTTTAGGCTTCTTTAAGGCAGGTGCACCACCATTTTTTTTTTCTTAATTGATTTTAGAGAGACAAAAAGGGAGAGGGAGAGAGAGATAGAAACATCGATGAGAGGGAACATCAATTGGCCGCCTCCTGCATGTCCCCCACTGGGGATCGGGCCCACAACCTGGGCATGTGCCCTGACCAGGAATCAAACTGGCGACCTCTCGGTTCATGGGTCGATGTTCAACCACTGAGCCACACCAGCCAGGCAGTGCATCACCATTTAACATTAGTTTAGCCCTTTGCATTGGCACCCCTCCAGCACAGAGGCCAAACTTCCAAATTCCTTCTGCTCCAAAACAAGCCACGAGTCCCAGGGCAACAGGAGATTTGAGAAATGACTTCACAAACCCAGCACTTAATTTTCACAGAGCATGGCTACCTACCTTTTGGTCCTGACCCTGACAGTCTGCCTTGAAAGGTGTCAGGTACAGCAATGGGAATAGACAGCTAGAGGGAAGAGATGAATTACAAAACACCTTATCTGGACCGATTTAGCACAGAGTCAATGGCCCTATACCCAACAGGAAGCCCACAAGCATCTGTTACATCTTTTAATCAGTGAGTTTTGTAGGTGAACTGTACATTGAGAGCATCTTGAAATCAGCAGGAGGCAGGAAGCCTGATTTCAGATTCTAGCTCTGTCACATAACAACTTACCAAGTGGTGGAATGGAATGGAGGTATAAACCTATCTCACCAGGGTGTTAATGATTAAATGAGATAACATACTTAGAGGTACCCAATCTATCATAGGTGCTGAAAGTGTATAAAAATGACACTTGCTATCTGGAAAATATGTAAGCATCTTTTTTCTCCATAATACTAGTCAAGTAAAAATTTAGAATGCTAAGCCGGCCTCTTCAGGTGAATACTTGTGTGCCTATTTAGCACCAGCCTTGTACTAAGGCTGTGGGAGCAGATGTGGGCTGTTCTTTAGTTAGTAATTCAGTAGGGGACACATACCTGAATATATGTATAATGCAATAGGTTTGTCTGGCACAAATAGGTCATTAGTCTTATTAAAAGCTGAAGATTTATATGAAGATTTTCTTGTGATGTGTTAGGACTGGGTTAGCTCCTGTGCTTGGGGGAAGGACCCCTGATGGGGAAGGAAAACAGGAGGAAACATTTGAGCTGAGTCTGGAGATGGCAGACAACCATTTGGAAGAGAGAGGCAAGTTAAGTGAAGGTAAAGGGCATGAGGCAAGCCCCGGGGTATGGTTTGAGGAAGAGGTCTACCAGAATGGGCTGACAACTGGAAGGACAGGTGATGAAGCTGAAGAGATAGGTAGGTCAACTTGAGAGCTACAAGGAGCTACTGAGGGATCCTAAGCAGAGTGTGGCTCAGCTGGATTTAGGATCTAGAGCAGAAGCCAGCAAACATTTTCTGTAAAGGACCAGATAGCAAACATTTCAGGCTTTGTGAACCTTAGAGTTTCTGTTGCAACTACCCAACTCTGCCTTTGTAGTATGAAAGCAGCCACAGACAGTATACAAGTGAGTGAGCATGACTGTTCTGAACAATTTTATAGACACTGAAATCAGAATTTCATGTAATTTTTACATCACAAGATACTATTTTTATTTTGCCCAACCTTTTAAAAATGTGTAAACTATTCTTAGCTTGTGGGTTGTACGAAAACAGCAGCAGTCTGGATGTGGCTGTTGACCTTACTTTGCCCAGGGATTGGAGGACTAACAGTTAAGAGGCCCAGCCAACAGCTGTGGGAGCAATCCAAGTAAGAGGATGAGGGTGGTGGGAGTTGGTGCTGCAAATAGGGAAGAGATTTTAGGAGATCCCAGAGGTATAGGATAGGATGCCAGGGACCAGCAGAGAGCTAGCCCCCCTCATCACCAAAGGGACCCAGACCTCTCAGCAAAAGGAAGCTGCTTCTCATTCTCCAATGAGCAGGGGCCTCGGACAAGACTCTACATGAATATGGACTAAAGGAAAAGATACTCCTCCACCCCATACATGGAAGGAGCCTGTGGGCACCAAGACCCAACCCTTGCTTCCTGAGAATCAGGTGGTATCCAACTCTCCCCTCCAGCCCCACATTCTCCAACAGGAGTTTGTTTATGGAGCCAGAGATTTCCACAGACCAAGTTATTATCTCGAATTCCCTCTGGCAGGGCTGACTCCTCTCAAAAGTGGTGCCAGCCTGGCATGCAGTGAGGGGTTGTGTGTAGGGGACTGGAGGTGAAAGCAGCTCTGGATGGTGTCCTTGACGGGGCCCAGCCAGGCGAGAAACAGGGTGGGGTGGGGGGTCAGTCTTATGAGGAAGGTCAAAGTCTCAAACTTGTGTGTGCCAAGCCAGACTGGAATCCAGGCCTTGGGTTTCCCAACGTAGAGCTGCCCTAGGCGAGGAGCGGCCTCAGGTAAGGTGCACTGTCTTTCCCTAAAAGAATTGCATAGGCATCCTTCCCAGTGGACCATGCTTCATGCTGCACAGCCTCCTGGGAGACCTGGGTGCAGAAAACCCAACTGAACTGCTAGGATGCCCAATTGGCTGCCTCAGCTCTCTGTGACTCTTAGCAGTTTGCTTCTAGTGTCTGGGCAGTGGTCTCCCCATCTGTCAGGTGGGTAATAGTTCCTGTTCATACACTGCTCCAAGCCATTGAGAAGGTAGTGGGGAAGGAATAGAGCAGTTGTGAAGTTGAAGTTGCTCTGATAGGGGTTGGGGCTTTCAGTCACCCTCCACCCCTATTCCATCCCACCTCCACCCATCCAAGCCTGACTGACCCATGAGTGAAGGAGTCAGAAGTCCTTATGTACCCACAGTTTCCCAAGGATCTCTTCTGAGCTCTTAATATGCACCGAGCACTGTGCTTATCTGTTACTCTTCAAAGCCCCATGAAGTAGGTATTCTTACTATCTCCATTTCACTAGTGGGGAAACTGACAGTTGGAGGTCAGGTCACTAACCCAAGATCACTCAGTTAATAACTGGGGATCTGATATTCCTATTAGGTCTGACTCTAAAACCTGTGCCCTCTCCACTACCCAGTCAGAGCAGCAGCAGCTCACACAACTCATACTGGAGTCCCTGAGATTGCGTGGCACATGAGATTAGGGCAAATGGGAGGAAAGTTCACACTATGTACAAATGCAGAGAACACTAGCAACCCCCAAAGATGGAGGGGTTTTCCTACAGTGGCCACGAGGGGGCAGTATATATCCTCAAACCTGGATCCTAGGGATTGGGGGGGGGGGGGTGCTTGCACTTTGCCTCATGAAAGCTCTTTATTTAAAGCTTTAGAAGTGTTTATAACCATTATCTTTTAAATGTATGATCATTTCACTTTTTAATTTATTTTTTATTGTTGACAGTTGTACAGATGTCCCCCATTTGCCCTCTTTGTCCCCTTCCATCAGCCCCCACCCCACCTCAGGTCTTCACCACACTATTGTCTGTGTCCATGGGCTATACATATAAGTTCTTTGAATAATCTCTTGTCACCCACCTCCTTCCCTCTGAGATCTGTGAGCCTGTTCCAAGCATCTATGTCTCTGGACCTATTTTGTTCATTAGATTCCATATGTAAGTGAGATCATGTGATATTTGTCTTTCTCTGACTGGCTTATGTAGTTTAGCATAATAATCTCCAGGTTCCTCCATGCTGTTGCAAGGGGTAAGAGATCCTTTCTTTTTACAGCCTCATCATATTCCATTGTGTAAATGTACCACAGCTTTTTTTTTATCTACTTATCTACTAATGGGCGCTTGAGGTGTTTCCAGATTTTAGCGATTTTAAACAATGCTACTGTGCACATGGAGGTGCATATATTCTTTCTGATTGGTATTTTGGGATTCTTAGGATATATCTCAGAAGGGGGATCACTGGGTCAAATGGCAGTTCCATTTTTGTCTTTTTGAGGAAACTCCATACTGTTTTCCACAGTAGCTGCACTAGTCTACATTCCCACCAGCAGTGTGCCAGGGTTCCCTTTTCTGCACATCCTCACCGGCATTTGTTGATTTATTGATGGGTCTATTCTGGCAAGTGTAAAGATGATACTTCATTGTAGTTTTAATTTGCATCTCTCTGATAATTAGTGATGTTGAGCTTTTTTTTTAATCCTCACCAGAGGATACTTTTTTCCATTTTCATCTTTAGATAGAGTGATTGGGGATAGAGAGAGAGAAAAACATCGATGTGAAAGAGACACACTGATTGGCTGCCTGCCTCACGACCCCAACCTGGGCTGGGGAGCAAACCGCAACTGAGGTACATGCCCTTGACCAGAATTGAACCCATGACTCTGGTCTGCGGGTCGATGCTCTACTGCTGAGCCAAAATGGCCAGGATTTGAGTATTTTTTTTATATGTCTTTTGGTCATCTGTATGTCCTCTTCAGAGAAATGTCTATTCAGGTCTTTTGCCCATTTTTTAATTGGATTGTTTGTCTTCCTTTTATTGAGTTGTACAAGTTCTTTATATATTATAGAAATAACCCCCTATCAGATGTATCATTGGTGAATATGTTCTCCCATACAGTGGGTTCCCTTTTAATTTTAATAATGGTTTCTTTTGCTATGCAGAAGCTTTTTAGTTTGATGTAATCCCTTTTGTTTATTTTTTTCCTTCGTTTCTCTTGTCCTAGGAGATACATCAGCAAAAATTCTGCTATGTGAGATGTGATTTTCCTGCCTATGTTTTCTAGGGTTTTTATGATTTTGTGACTTAAATTTAATTATGTTATCCATTTTGAGTTTATTCTTGAGTGTGGTGTAAGTTGGTAGTCTAGTTTCATTATTTTGCATGTACCTGTTCAATTTTCCCAACACTATTTATTGAGAATACTGTTTTTACTCCATTGTATGCTCTTGCCTCCTTTGTCAAATATTAACTGACCATAATGGTGTGGGTCAATTTCTGGGGTCTCTGTTCTCTTCCACTGATCTATATGCCTGTTCTTGTGCCAGTAGCAGGCTGTTTTGATTACAGTATAGTTTAATACCAGTATTGTGATTCCCCCCAACTTTGTTCTTTTTTCTCAAGATTGC